ATGTATTTTATTTTAAAGAAATATTCAATTTTGAGCAGACTAAAGACACGCCCTACCTCCTTGAAATCTTGGTTCAAGAGAAAGAAATGGAATCCTAAGAATTTAAAAAGCCACTAGGGGACATTCTGAGCTTCTGATTGGTTCTTCATGTCATTTATAAAAGTAAGTGTATATAAGGGAGTGTTTCCAAAAATGGAAAGAGGTGGGCAGGGTGCCACTGTGTTTGATTTATTATATGAGCAATATCATAGCAAATAGAAAAGACCTTCTTATTTTATATTCTAGCTTGTCAATATCAATAATTTGAGTTTTCAATTCATACAAGACTATAGACTTAGTATTTTGACTTCACAAACATCTAATTTGAACCAGTCCTGCATTCAACATACCACGTGACACACAAAAATTGCTGTTTATCTGTGTTTATTTAATATTTACTTTAAATTGTGTAATGTATAACACTAAAATTTGAATTATAATCTTCAGTTTGATACCAAACTTACTGACATAAATTCATGAAATAGTAGTTGAATAAAATTTTAAATGCGAATCAACAAAAGAGATGACATAGCCTTTCACCCATGACTCGTCTTGAAAGGGTTAATAACAAGGATTTTCAATGAAGAATTAGTTTATTTACTAATAAATATCCTAGATTTCTATAAGAATTCTATATTATTTTCTCAACATTACTGACTGCTTGGTAAAAAGGGAAGTTAAAATACTAGGGAAAACCTTTAACCCTCCCGACAGGGGTCTACCTATGGTCATGGGTCAAAGACCATATCATCACATTTGTAGACACACATTCAAAATTTTATTGAACTACTATTTTATGAATGTATGTCCATACTTTTGGTATCAAATTGTAAACTATAATTCAAATTTTAATATTATACAATAGTTAATTTCTTAATTTAAAAGTAAATATTTAAAAAAAAATCCTAAATATTGACCTTTGTGAGTCACGTGGTATGTTGAATGCAGCATTGCTTAAAATTAGATACTCAAATTACCAATATTTACAAGCTAGAATCTAAGGTAAGAACCTCCTATATTTTCTATTTTCTGAGATATTAATACATTTACTGAATCAACCAAGATGTCCCCACCCACCTCTTCCATTTTTTTGAAAATAGTTGCTTACATACACCTACTTCGCTCACTGACATGTGTATAACCAATCGAAAACTCAGAATGTCCCGTCGTGGTTTCCTCAGTCTCTGTGAAGTATTTGCTTGGGAAAAATCTTTCTTTTCATGGTAGATTCCAAGTGGTAAGGTAAGACATTCATGAGCTCCAAAAATTTTTTTTTTTTTTAGATCCAAATACAGCTTAGTTACAAGCTTGATAAATTATAGTGGAATTCTGCATTGATATAGTAATTTATGATTTTTCTTATTTCAAAATGCATACATAAAATCTCAAAAAATTATTTTGTTTTACATCCTCCATGTGTGAAATTTGATAAGGCTTAGCAACTTGTGACAATCAGTAAACTAGTTTGTAACTAGAAGAGATAATTGTTTTCTATGCTTCTTTATTTACTATTCTATGTTTTAAGAAAAATAACTGAAACTTAAAAACTTATTTGTAAATAGTAATAATATATATACATAATGTATGTAACTGAAATTTGACACAATACTGGTCCACTAGAACACAGCCAAGACAGGTCACTTTGAAAAGGACAGTTTTATGTTCTTGGATATGGTAACATGAGTGCACGTGCGCCGCATCATTGCAACTTCTGTAATGTTAGTCAGGCATGGCTGAAAGGTCAATAAAATAAAAATAACAAATATATATATAGATGTATTATGTTATGAGATTGAAGCTACTTAGAATAAACATTTGTGTTTTCGTGTTATCATTTGTAGTCATTCTAGAATAAAAAACATAATTTAAATCTATTTCATAATTTTTTATGGTGGTTTGAGGTCAGTCAAATCGACTAAACCCATACAGAGATACATTGGTGAAAATAACAGATAAAATATAAAGTTTTTTCTAAAAAATGTTTGACAATTATCTGAATGTTATAAAGATTTTGCATGTGAAATTTAAAAATTTTCTGATGCATAAGTGTTTTTTAATCTTAAAATCAAAATTACAGCCTAAGTATGTTAAGTTTAGTATTTTTCTGATTTGCAATCAATGTCACAAAATAATGTTGATTTCCATCAACAAAAATTCTTTTGTTTTCTGTAGTCAACAGTTAATCGTAAAAAATATACATATATCAAAATGCTTCTTTTCGAGAGTACATTACAGAAAAATTATTCATTTTTTGCAATCCCTAAAAGTTTATATAGATACTAACATCAATCTGCCATATGTGCTGAACGGTCAGTCCGCGAAAAAAAAAACTCATTAAGAACAAAAGTGTTCTTGTGTGTGGGGGAATTTCGTGAAAGAAACAGGACTTCCTTCATCAACTGATTGAAAGAAACATTTCAAAGATAGGAATGTATTTGAGTATATATTTAATGTTCTTTGATTCAGATATATATAATACATACATACACATATTTTTTTCACATCAGTATTATATACATGCATGATTTTATTGTTCTATGTCAAATAATTTAATTTGAAATTAATATCTCCCCTTTGACACTTCTTATGGAAATAACAACTGTCAAAAAGTGCTCACTTGGCTAGCAGTCTTTTTTTGCACTCAGTAAAATGACAAGAAATGGTAAAAAAATTTCCATAGCTACTTAATTAATTTGAACTCTACATTGTGCTAGAAGCACCCAATGCATCCAAACCCAAATACATTTGCAAACAATGCATTACAGTCAGTCTTTGTTTAAATACAAATGCAATGCAAATTTCCTTATTGAAATAACACATGGAATGACAAAAGATGGTTGTAAGTATCTCACTAGACAATCACACTACATATTGGATTGGGTTGCATGCACATTTTATATTTATTCATCACTGTTTTTAGGAAAATTACCAGTGAATTGTTTCTACGGGCATCTGCTAGTATGACAATTTAGTAATAAAAACATAATTTAATCCTAGATTGCTGTTCCTGATAACATCCATCATATCAAATGAAAAGTAGTTCAAAAATGTCTATAAAAAAAACAACCAAATAAGTTAGAAATATAAAATATCGGTCTCATGTGAGAATAATCAATTAATTAAATATAATCAATTACTTAGCCCGACAATTAACTGATTAGCAAATTCCATTAATTGCAAATATCTAGTTTCAAGCATATTATTTCTGTACTTTTTCTTCAATAAATCATACATTATCTTATATGATGAACACCGAGAACTGAAATATGTGTCATTCTTTCAATCTTACAGGGGTCAAAATTCAAAATATTTTACAGAATTGGGGATTTTGGCCTGCTAGTCTTCTACATTTAGACCAATCTAGATAAGACTTTTCACAAAGATACCTTGTTATAACCCCCACAGACTGAATAAGAAAGATTTAGTATATGTTCCTTTCTTTTGACTTATAGAAGTAAAAGGTAAACAAGCTTAAAGATATTGTCTGCATATGTAAATGTTACAAGTGGTTGTTGTGAATAATATCTTGACTCACATAATGCATGAAATTGCAAATACTATGCCCTATTCCAATGCCTCGATTACCGTTCTCTCTTGAAATCTACAGTATTCTAATCCTATTTGTTTGCAAATGTGAGCCTTTCTAATTTCATTCTCTTCACTGACTTTAGTTTAATCATAACACAACAAATCTGTCCACCACGCCTATCAGTCTTGTTCCAATTCACCTCCTGCTTTCTCCATAAATGTTAATTTTTACCTCAATACCACCATGCCTTGTCTCCCCCTCATCCTCTCTTCAACAAATCACAACCTGTGTCCTTCCAAATAATAGGTCCTTGAACACCACAGTTGCATAGAAGTTTGATTAATAACCTCTTCATTAGCTATTGCATTTATTTACTGCACTTAAGATGGTAACTACTTAGTTTAGAGCATACTATAATTCATTGAATTTGTCTTCTGAAGTTATATGGCTAAGTTCCTGATTGTATGTTGTAAGTGTATGGGTGGTTATGACTATTCAAAAGTCGAAAAAGTAACTTTATTCTCAACAGTGATACCTAAAACTGCATGTGTGCATGTTCTGTAATTTAAATTTTCAAAAACATTATTATTTTTAATACTCTCAGCTATTTCTCAAATTTATGAAAAAAATTTACTTAAAACATTTAAATAGTACTGCATGAACTTATTTTATTAACACTCACAATAAATTGCAGAAACACAAAACAAGTAAGGATAAATAAACAGCAGTTGCTATGAAAGTGTTCAAAATATTATATTTACAACCAGGTGTTGAATTAAAGGTTCAAGTTATCATATAGATATATAACAACACCCTGCTTGATTAAAATTCCCCACAAAGTAACCTGAAAAATTAGATGTGTACTATAAAGCAAATTTCACAAGAAGTTTTAACCCATATGGAACTAAATAAAATAAATTATATGGTTTTAGTGAATCAATGATTGAATTTCAAATTGTAGGTTTTGTTTGATTATTAAAAAAGAATAATTTAGTTTTTGCTATAACAAGAAAAAACGTGTTTAGTAGTGACATATTAGCTACATGAACTTGTTTATAGCATTTAGTATTATTAGATGTTTTACTGACAAGACTGTCTTTCTAGATGTAAGATTAGCAATGCAGAAGCTTACAACTATAATTTCAGTTTCTTAAGCTTTTAGTTTATGTTATATCAGACTGTTTACTTAGGTATGTTTGAGTAATGAATCTTTGTACATGTATTATAACAAACTATAATACACATGTGAAAATATAGTTTTTGAAAAATCAACACATATCTGGTTTAAAATAAAAATATAAAAAATTAAATTACTAACACTTACCTAATTAATGCTGCAATTACAGGAATTGAAAGTGCAGGCCCACTTTGAAATCGCTCTAAGAGAATGTTGAATCCATTTAAAACTCCAAACCTATTGATAAGATCAACCAACCAGCCCTAGATCAAAAGAGAGAGAGAGAGTGAAAAAAAGAGAACAACACACTTAAAGGATGTTTTCCATATACAAAGGATATTTTTCAAAACAATGCATGGATTAAAAGGATTAGTTGTCAACAGGGCCGGCACCAGACTATTTTGTACCCTAGGCAAGGCCAGCTACTTGTTATGTTTTTTCTTAAAACAACTAATTTGTATAAAACTGTGACCCTTAAAGATCAATACTGTGCTCCTCTTGAGGTCTGCGCCCTATGCGGCTGGCTAGTTGACCTAATGGTAGCACCGACCCTGGTTGTCAACCATGTGCAATTAGTAAGGAAAATTAACTGACAAATACTGTTTTCTAAATGTATGGATTGCACACACACACACACACACACACACACACACAAGCTCACAAAATTATGATAAACTTCATAATATTATTGAGTTAAAATGATACTATTACAATGCAAATCGTACATCACAAACTGGTATTACGAAGAAAATCAAAGTGAGATAAATTAATTTTGTATTTGGTACTTTTCATAAATTAAATATCTTATATGTCTATCAGAATCATTTTTAACTTACCTGAATTATGAACCTGGAAAACTAGTGTTGTGAAATGAGAATGCATTCGACAATAAAAATTGGATTGTTATACCTATCAGTTCAAACTTAACCATAGTCAATCTTACCTGACCTAAATTTCAAATTAAATATTACTATTTTACATATTCTTGTAAGTGTAATCAAAGTATGTGAAAGAACAATAATAATTCTTCCCAAAAACGTTTTTTCATTTAATTCAGTTCCTCCCTAATTCCACAAGAAACTTTTCACTAAAATATAAGAATTTCATATTGTTGTTGTTGTTACTGTTTTAATCCAAGGCTACACAATGGGCCACTTGCATTCTGTTCACCGAGAGGAATTGAAACCCAAATTTTGGTGTTGAAGTATGACATAACACTGACAAGATGACTTACTCTTGGAGTACGCACATCTGGAGGCCGTGCATATAGCTCCGTGTCTGAAAATTGTGATCCAGGAGGAACAGACTCTGAAGGTCTAGTGGCATTAAAGGTGTGGAATCTGATTGCCAAATGAAAAATAAAAAATTTTCATACATAATTACAAATAAAACTGTCATAAAGATCTAAAAACTTTCTGTGAAAAAAAAAAAAATACAATTTCCATCAGAAATAAGTATTATCATTTTAAAAGCTATTTATTCTCAGCTTAAAATGTTAGTGCATGTTAAAATATTGTATACAGTACATTTTTAGAACTGTTCCTTCTTTACATATTAAATTTAGAAAATTAAAAAAAGAATTATGTATTATCAGTCACTCTGTTAGTTTACAATTAATAGCACTTCCAAAATTTAAAATACCTTAACAGTACAGTATATTCCATGCAAATGTCTTCAAACATACGACAAATACAGGCTTACTTGTGTAATCCTGTCACTACGATGACTGTTTTTTCACTAAAGATTCAAAATTCATAAAGAAAACTTAAGAAATTATTTCTCATATATTAGTTTAATTTTTTTCCTTCTTAAGACTGATCCCAAACTAAATTTTTGTTGCTTCTTTTTAAGGTAACTTTTTTAACTTTATCTGCAAGAAGTTCTTCTATAGTAACCTTATTAAAATGGAGGTCACAAAACCTCAATTTCCTTGTATTAGAAAAGCTTGATAATAAGTATTTCAAAATTAATACTTTGAATACTAAGTATAAATAATAAAGTAAAAAAAAAGCATTTTTCATCATATTTATAGAATTTGTATAGACTTCTTTAAGACTGAAGTCAACTTCAATGTTTTTATGTTTGAAAATTGATTCACTTTTGAAATTATAAAAGATCCAAACTGACAAACCTATTGACAGCTTTAACCCTGTGAGTAAGGTTTGGTCAAAGTGTGCATGTCAAGACCTTTTACACAGTTACATAAAATACTTAATTAAACAGCTTTACTATCAATGTATGACAATCAACTTGGCATCAGAGCATCACTTATAATTCAAATGTTACATTATTTAATTTTTCATTTTGAAGGAAAATATTTAAACATTTCTAAATATTCATTTGTCTGTGTCCCATGATGCATCTGCACTCCAAATTCTCCCCTTCAGATTTTATAACTTCAATAGTACAGCTTTTATGGTGTATAACCAATTTGAAACAAACCATACCTACTTGCAAGCAAAAACATCATATTTGAACCTCATGTATTCTTGACATGCTGAGATATCAATAAATTTGATATAAATAAAACCACCAAAGAAGCCCCTCCCATCCCTCTATGTCTTTCAAGCACCAGGACAATTACATAATCAAGTGTACATAGCTGATGGAAATTATTATAACCAGTATAAAGAGCAGGTTCTCCTCTACATAAATCTTATGATCCTTTGTTTATCTTTGGCAATAAAAGATGGTATTTGAGAAGTGCTTGATTTGTGTTGAGAAAAGTTGTTACTCTGAGTAGTAAAAGAATCTTTTTAACCTATTTATAGCTTAGTTAAAAAGACAGAAAAATTATAGTAGTATTAAGACATTCTATTCTTGTGACTGATATCTGTGTTCTAAAATTCATATCTGAAAGGAGCATTAACTTTTATTTTGGACCACAAACAAAGAGAAAAAAAGTAGTGCTAGTAGTGTTATGCCTACAAGTGCAAAATGCACATAAATATATGGCCCAAATACATGCTGTGTACAAGAAAATTGCTAAAGTGACTCTGATGCAATTTATTGTTTTTCAATGGATGGGTAAACTGTTTTTGTGGTACAAACCAGGCAATAGAACTATAAAGTTTAAAAAAAACATGGAAAACTTTAACAGTTAAAATTGTGGAGATAAATAATTTTAAATTTTTGATACAATTATGCATTCAAGAAAGAAGAAAAAAATTCTTCTGTTCATTTTATTTCATATTCTTAAACTTTTGAGTTCACTTTACATTTATGACATCACTATAATTAATGTTAAGGTAGAGAAAATAAGAGAAAAAATATAAAGATTTATCAAAACAAAACTTTTGATATCCATTCAGGAGGTTCTAAAGGTTATACAAATGAAATATAAAAACTGTAAGATGAACATAAGTATTTTAACTCTTAACATGATCACATTTCACTCAGACTAATCAGGATCTGAGCCAGATTGACTCAGTAAAGGCTTTGTAAATTCACTAACAAATATTTAGTAGAAATACTTTCTTAAAAAATGTCTTTCATTCAAAGGACGTAAAATGTTTACTATAAATAAATTTTGTAAAGATACATACAGTAAATTCATATTTATAGTAAGCACCATAACATAAAGTTTCACAGATGCTCTAATACTGCACTTAAAGGGTTAATATATGCTATCAAAATTACAAATTATCCTCAAATTTTAGAGTAAAACTTTAACAGACTGCAACTGTTGCAACAACAAATAACAAAAGAGCTTCTAAAAACCAATAAGCACTAATGAAATGTACAAAACATTATAGAGATTCAAAAAACATCACCTACTTGCTGTTAGGATTAAGAGCCACAGCTAACATATCCAAGAGTGGAAACCAGTCCTGATTTAGCTTTGTGACACAAAGTTCTATCAGCCTTTCTGTGTTCTTCATTATGCACCTCTGAAGAAGAAAACTAAGTTAAGTTACAAAGAAAAAAATCCCAAAAGTATATCTTCACTTCAAGGTGGAGTGGAAGGTGGAATGATAAAATCTAAATACAAGAAAGACCCTAGTTGTACTTTTCAATTCAATGATTTTCAACTGTTCCAGTATTTCCATTTTAAGAAGCAACAGAGAACTAAATGTTTAATTATCAGTAGATAGTGCATTATTCCACAATCTGTTGTACTTAATTATTCTCCTATTGCTTTCAATACATAATCTTGTCAGATTTTATTTACTTACATTCTTGAATTTCACTAACAGTTCCAACACCCTTCTTTACAAATATAAACTTCCAATTAATATGCATAAACCTATCTGGTGTTACTTAAATTATCCTGGGTGGAAAATTAATTTTAGGTAGTATGAGAAAGCTTGTGTTCACTTAGTGCAATGTATCTATATAAATTATATTTTAATATTAAATCTGTAAATTTAACATGTTTCAATACTTTTATATGAGCACTAGCTCAAATTTCCACATTGAAATTGTTAAGTCACATAATATCAGTCTACTGAGATAAAAGAGGTTCAAACAGTATGAGTTCAACTATATTATAACTGCTACAAAGCTTCTTTAAAATTAAAATTGCTACAAATAATATTAAACTCAACCAACATCTGCTATAAATATTTAAGCAATTCAACTCAGATATATTCTTCACATCAAACACAAAAACTATACATTACAACTGATATTGAGTAGTTTGAATTTAATTATGAATAAAATAACTCAAGCTCTTATCACATAAAAAAATAAAAAATGATGCAAAGGCATGAACAAGTTTAGACATGCTCCAAACATATTTAACTAAAACAATAATCATTACCTGAATGGTAGTTCTATTAAAGTTTAAATAAGCAGAGATTATCAACAAAGAAAAAAAATTATGAAATTGAAGAATATTTCTGTTTTAATGTATAATTTTCTTATAATGTTACTTTATTCTTTACATGCTCTAGATCAGTTTAGAAATAATCTATCCAATGTTTCTGCAGGTTCAATACAATGGAGAAAGAGGTTGAACACGAAAGAACAAAGTTTTTAACCTTCAGCAAACTATTTAATAATATATAAAATAAGCAAGATTGAATCTGTGGAAAAGGACAAATAAAAAGCACTAACTTGTACAATTACAATCAAAATTTTTAATCACAATGAATTGACACCTGTACAATAATGAGCTCTGTTGAGCAGAGAGACCACAATTACCTACATAGCCAACAATTAACTAAGAATGATATTAACCAAAATACAAAGTCACTGACTACCGGTAATTTGGAATGATTGGCATCAAGTTGTTTCCTTATTAATGTGCTAACTGTAATTGTGTTTCATGAACTTAAAATTGAATAATAAGTAACTGAGATATTTTATGAATATCCCCATTATAAAATATTTACCATATTAAATGTTTATAGTGCTAAAACTTCAAAACAAATTAAAAATTGGGGAAGTAAAATTTTGGGCAGACAGAATTTGTTGGCATTTTATATTGTACTTAAAATATATAAATTTTCATCATTTGTTTCATGCTTAATAGTTATCAATTTGGTCCATAATTCAAGTTCCATACTAGTAGACAATATTCAACTCAGCAACAATTCAACTGTGTCACTGATAAATTAACAGTTCACTCACATGTATCTCAAATTTCCATCCACTCATTGCTTCATCTGTTAATATTTTTGTAAAAGATATTGTCAGACCATCTCTAAAGAATCTTTGGCAAGCTTCACTCCTGGTATCTAAACCTGTAAAGATTTAAACAAAACAAGAACAACAAAAACACATCATTATAAGCCACTTACATAAAATTTGATATACCTCTAAATGTTTCTAAAAGTCAAAGTTCAGTGTAACATTATTTTTGAAGACAGAAAATTGTACTAAAAGTCTTACATAAACAATTATAGGTTTCAACTGTAATTGGTACTACACTGAACAGTTTTTAATAATAAATTTCTTTTAAATGTGTGACTTTTTAATATTGCACAAGTTTTACTGTTATGCAGAATAATACTGAATCTAGTCCTTTCTTCCTAGTTAAGATTAAACAAAGAAGAGAATAAAATGCAAAATGCTTATTTTAACATAATTTTTTTCAATTGAAAAGTATATTTTGTGAGCTATGATACACTTTGTTTAGTATTTCTTCTTAGCACTATGAGAAAATGATCCAATAAATCCTACAATAGTTAACACTTTCCTAAACTGAAAATGTATTTCCAATAATACTTACCTCTTCTGACACTTACTACTCGACCACTGGGATTTCTTCTTTGCTCATCTAAGCATTAGTCTGATTTTTTCTCGCTTGCTCCAGTCTTTTATACCCTACTCAATTGCCCTTGGCAATATTTGTCTCATGATATTTTCCACCTATGTCAATGCACCCTTTATCCTTGTACTGTATATAAGCTCCTCATTCAAATAATTTTATCACTTTTTCAAGACTGATACCATCCCAGTCTCTAATACCTGCTCTTAGTGGGGAGGAAAGGTGGGAGAGTATCAGCGGAGGTAAGTATTATTGCAAATACATTTTCAATTTAGGAAAATGTTAACTTCCAAGACATACTTACTTCTGCTGCCACTTAAAACTAGAATCCTACATGGAAAAGGTGGAGGGGCCAGTGAGGGCACTATCCATACAGAAAGCATCTGCATAGATCATGGATATACCAAGAAAAGAGTGGTACCTGAGCGGGGGAACCGCACTACATCCAGAACAGGTATGCTCTTCACCCTGAACTTAGTTCCTGTATCAAGGGTAGAATTGTACATGAGTAATCATAACTATAGGCCAGTGCCAACCAGATAGCTGAGGTTCCACTACTTGGGGTTGGAATTAAAGGGTCTTGGTCCCTATATCCCATATTGGTGGCTAGGGCAATTGGACCGCAATGTTATATATAGATATACTTTTGATTGGACCCCAACCTGTAGCCATAGAGTGATGCATTCTGAACCACCAGAATCACGATGAGAAGGTAAGCAACACCTAGGCAGACAAACCTTCTCCTCCACTTGAAAAAGCCTGAAAGGCAACACCTCAGGCTCGGAATGATGGGATTGTGTATGCCTTACTTAACCAAAGGAACAGAACTCATCCAGTCTGGAATTATGAACATTCATTCTCACTCCCCAACCAAGTGAGCAAGGAGCCTTCCACTTGCCCCCAGAAGTATGGGGAGGACGTGGAATAACTGTGTTCAACCAAGGACCCAAGATGGGACCACTCCACATTTGGAATTACAAGGAAATAGTGGACCTCCTTCCACGAACTGATATTGATCAAAAAGAAAGGCTATGCACACCTCAACTGGATAGCCGAGTATCCAATCTGAACCAATATTATGAGTAGGCTGGCACCACACCTACTGATATACTGGAAAAAAAAAAACAGGGACCCAGGTAGGAGAGCCTCCAAATTCACCCTCTTCTCCTAGAGTGGAGGAATTCACTCTAACACCGTGGAGAAAAAACCTCTGTCTACCACCCCAGTGACTGGAAACCAGGTGTGGTAAGGACTCCCTAGTTCCAATAGTAAAATCTGAGGGGTAATGCACATTAGGGAGACCTGAGGAACAGTGCTCTAGAAACAATACAATAGGTGAATCAATTTCCCTAGATTTTTAAAAGCAAAATGACACTGATTTATTCAATCTGATGATCGGTAGGGACGAGCAGAATCCCATTTAGCTTCACTCATGATAGTCCATGAGTGGCAGTCCACCATAGTATGGTAATACCACCTGATGAGCTCCTAGGTGGTCTTATGGAACACCTCATTTCTACAGAGCCTGTTGCAACCAGTAGTAATTATAGTGAAACAGTGGTTGCTAGTGCAGAATTGGTTTGATAAAATCACACCTGCCTGGGCAACACTCGCCACAGAGTGGGATCCTTTGAAAACAAGATAAGGGACTCTGAAAGGTAGAAATAAAAATACTCACCCCTCTAGATAAGCAGAAATAGTTAAGATAGCCACAGAGGGTAGGCAAAAACCCTCAGATGAAGAGACTGCCAGATTAGGCAAATAATGTGAGATAAAGGCTTTGGGAGAGGTCCACGTAGTGACCTCCAGTGGGTAATTCAACTGGGGTGCTAAGGAGATAGAATAGAGAAATCTGATGAGATGTGACTAACAGAAGATACCTTGCCTTCAAAGAGAGTCCAGAATAAAGGTATAAGTGCAGGCAACAAAACTTCAAGACCCTCACTGAACATGACGAAGATCGAAATTTGATTGAACATAGAGAGAAAGGGTGAGCTGATGAATCGGAGAAAAGGATTGAACCCATTACCTGTCTGACAGTGTATTGGGAGAGAGAATGAGAAAGTGGTCTGTGGACAAACGCTTAAATCACTCTGATAGGTCAGCAGCTACGAAAAATAAACCTGCAGAGAAAGGGGATACATGGTATATAAGGGTCAGGTCACAATCCTGGATCTACCTGTTAGAAGCAGAAATCTGGGTGTAGCTGCCAATCTGATGTGATTAACAGGATCTGACAATGGGTTGTAACAAATCATATTTTGTTCCCAGGGTAACATATGAAGTGGAGAGAAGGTTGAGAGGAGTAATCCAATCCTGTCCAGATGGAAAGCAGCTGTTGCCAAGGCCCAAAGATGAGGTACTATAGACCAAATTGCCAGTAGTTGGATAATCCAATGAGAGGCCATCCCACCAATTAGAGTTGCAAAATGAGAGGCAATCCAACTGAACTTTGCGATGTAACATCTATTCTGTCGGGAGAATCTGTTTGGATTGAGACAATGGACCTGCTGCTACAGGTAACACCCATTGAACATGGCAAGATACAAGGGTGTTAACATAAGATTATTCCCCAGAAAGGAGGTCCAAAATTCGAAAATAAGGAGCCCTAGACCACATGCCTCTTTGATGAGAAACATAAGACACCAACACAGAATTGTCAGAGTGAAGTCTGATGATTTACCCCTTAAGAAGCCCAGATCATAAGATCTTGCCTGTTGAAGAGCAAGGATGAAAACACTGTGTAGGAAATCCTCGTCATCCGTACATACTCTGGAATTCCTGACTGTTAGTAAATGTACCACATTCCTGAAACAAGGCAATCATAAAGAGAATGGAACTCTGGATGAGATGGAAGAGGATCCCAATTTGTAGTAGCAAGATGTGTATGATCCATGGTCACTTAAAGACCAATAAAAGGATCATTTGTGTTCTCGTCCCAAAGGCATGAAGGATTTGAGTGATGCCCACATTCCCAGAAGGGAAAGAACCATCAATGCAGTGGGAGAAGAAGAGGTTAGTAAGAGTGTGGCATCCTATTCTATAGTATTAAACAGGATGGGAGATAGTTGAGCCCGACTGAGTGATGAGATGAAAAATAAAAAATACCCAGACTAATGATATATTGAATTGGAGCAAGAATAAATGTCGCAGTCCTAAAAGAGAAGCCTGCCTGGGTTGTATTTGAAAGTTGAAGCAGGATGTGATAGTCTAACAACTGACAAGATATTGCCAGTAGTAACCAGTCATCTATGGAATAGTGTGTGTGTGTGTGTGTGTGTGTGTGTGTGTGTGCGTGTGTGTGTGTGTGTGTGTGTGTGTGTGTGTGTAGTATAGTATGACTGAGTAGTAGAAGTAGGAACGACGAACG